CGTTGCTTCTGATGGTGTTGACAGCTTTAGACACTGGGCTAAAATCAGTATCCTCCCTGGCCGCCCACCCACTCAGCTAGGAAATAAATCCCATGTGGTAGCTTGGGCTGCCGGTTGGGATCACAGACTGCCTCCATGGCTTCTAGATCTCCAGAGAGCAGCGGAGGGCGCCGACACCACAGCACAAACCTGAGGAGACGCTCAGGGTTTTACATTACACAGCATCACTTTACCGGCGCTGCATGAGCTGGCAACTGTGATCCCGAAAGTCCCTCTGGAGAGTCCATTTAAAATCCAATAGAGGCTTTATGAGAAGCTGTAGAAAAAGCAGATGAAGGAAAAACATTAGGCTATGGTATATACTAGTTGACAGAATACTATTTTGACATGATATAACTTGATATAATAATAATAATAATCTTATGTAAAATGTGTATAACTAATAAAATGTGTAAATAATTAATCATTATATCTCACGTTCCACGTTTAGCTCTTATTTGTCTCAGTGGTATACCTGGGGCATGTTCAAGATCACAACGGTGCGCAACGTTTTGCTACGGTTTCCGGGTTGAACGTCATGTTTCCTGGAAACGGCGTGCACCGGTGTGCAACGGGGTTTGAGATCATAGACAGTATAAGAAGTGGACAGAGCCATCTCATTGGAACTCAGTTGAGACAGTTGAAGCCCATTTTTAGCGATTTTTGAGCACTTCTGTTCCTAACGCGCAGACTCAAACCGACTCAAACTTAGCTTGATGACGTGAGCAACCTGTCTGACAGACGTTACTCTTCTAGTAGCTGTGCGTGAAAATTGCCAACGTTAATCTTGCAGAGACGGGGAACTTGAGCAAAGAGTTCTTTGGCGTGAGTGAGCAGGAGTAAGTATTCCGTTGCTTTTATGGACTCATTATCTATGGGCTTCTCCCTTGACGGGACGTCCCCCCGATTGCCTGCGAGCTTCTCCTCCTGTCTGTACGGTAATTTCTGTACAGCGCGACAGAGAGTCGAGTGGTTATGACGCAATCGTTAGCCTATTTTTACTAAAACTGTTTCTACGGGGCCATAATGTAACATAGAAGGTAATGGAGCCCTTTATACATTGTCGTGTTTCTTTAGAAATAAATAATGGACAAATAGAGTCTTTAAACGCCTCAGATGTAAAGTTATTCGCTGTCAAAGTGACGCCAAAATGAATGGGAGTCAATGGAAATGCTAACGCAAGTGAAGTTCTGCTACAACATGGCGGCACCCGGCCGGCTTCAACTTCCGGTCGATGGATTACCCCCTTGGTTCAAAGCATCACCGTTTCTGTTTAAAAAACGTTCTGCAACGTTTTGTCGGCGCTGAACGCAGCCCAGTTGTTTCAGACTTTATCCTGACACCTGTTGGCCTGGATGCATGAAATGTATTTAGTAACTGCTGCTTCACAACTAAGTTTTCTCATCTCATTCTTGATTGATTGATTGATTGATTGATTGATTGATTGATTGATTTGTAGTAGCTCAGCCAATTGCATGAAACAGCTAGTCATGTGATGCAAACATTGTGGTGTCCATGAGTGGGAAACCTGCTCCATGTAGAAAACTTCACCAAAAAAGTATTTAGTCTTCATTTCATGTAAACGTACATCATTTAATGATATTTCTCAAAAGCACAGTTATTTCTTTATTTGTAAAACATTTTTAATGAGAATTAGGCTACATTAAGGAGTAAACCTTTAATTAATCTCACAGCATTTTTCACTGTTTTAATGGTGATGGGGAAGAGAGACGCTGTTTTCTTCCAATATGGGTAGGCCTATATATTTCTCTGCTCATGTCTGAAAGGCTGGCTCCAAGCATTAGGGGTGGGCTCTAGCTCTCTGATGGTTTTCCAGTGAGTATTTGTCAGGTCAGACTGTGCACCGCCCGGCGGTCTCCGCTCCTCTCCCCGGGTTATTTATTACCTCTCTCCCCCGCCGGCAGCGCTGTGGCTCCGGGGCCGCTGCCAACAACGGCGCGAAGGCGGGGACGACTGCAAGGGGGTTTTCTACAGCCGACAGGACTCTGGGCATCGACATACACTGAGAGAATACGGAGAAAACAAAGTTATTGACATGTATTACACCGAGGAATCGGTTTAATAATAGGCAGACCAAGAGAAAAATCTGCATTTTACTGGAAGTAAAACAGCTTTTAATTAGTAAATAATTTTAAATATATTTTTTTTAGATATTCACATGTTCATGTTTTATTTTGTTTTTTTTTGTTTATGTACCAAATGTCTACTGCATATACTTAAGTTTTAAACAGTGTTAAGGCCAGATCTGCATTAAAGATGGGCCTACTGTGTGTATGTAGCCTATGTATGTATGTTGTCATTTATAAAATGTGAAATTATTTGAGGAAGTATTAAAAAATAGTCTTATAGCAATATTAAGGCCTTCTAAATATGAATTGGAGTTTATAGTTTGAAAAGCTAAAGAATAGATGAATGGAAAAGTTCTGAACTACTTGTTTACCAATATTTGTAATATCAACTGGATAAACAACACCCTCCTTATTCATAACTATAGCTACTTTTGAGCATTGTTTACATATCACAATGCACAAAGACCATACACCTGAACAAAATATTGTCACAATGATTATTAGGTAATTTGTTGTTGAATATGTATTCATTTTACACTTTACTTTTTTCAGCTTGTAAATTTTATTTATCTAGCTTTAATTTGACTATGTAGTTAAAGCATGTGTGAGATTTTATAAACTTTATATAATAAAAAACAGAAGTTGCTTGATGCGTGTTTTGAAATGTGAAACCATTTCATGCACTGTGTGAGTGGGTGGCACTTTCATTTTGATGAGCAAGAGGAGGATGCCACAGGACTTGTTCTGCTGAACTGTCGATAATGTGGGGGCTGAAAGTTCAGGGGAAGCCGTCCTGAACCCAAACTGTGGGCAGATCGCTACGTTGTCATCTGTAAATTTAGGGGAACCCCTCCTTCATAAATAGTGCACTTTTAGTCCCTCATGAGTCATCCGCGGTTATAATGTAGAAGAGAGTGGGGGTGAGGGGGCAGGGTATCCCCGTGGGGGATCCTCACACTTGGGGTTTCAGGGATCTCCTGAGGTCTCTGAGAACCTTTGACCTTTAGATTATTTCCATTTTCTTGTGATATGTCTTTGTGGGCGATTTTGATTTCAAGATCTAAATGGTGCATAGAAAGTCTTAAGTCTCCCAGGCTATATAGTCAAACAACCGTGTTCTTTTATTCCAATAAGCTTTGTTTGTTTTCACGAAGACTGAGCAGATTTATCAACAATAACAATAATGATGATCTTTTCCTTAAAATATTTAGGCAGTTTAAAATAAAAATGTGTTTTTATTATTTTTGACTGTTGTTTCTAACACTGAAACCATGGTCTGCTTGTGCACCTCCGGACTGGAGAGTATTTGACAACACCAAGAGAATCATTTTGTTTGAGAGATTAGACTACATGGATTCAATTTATTTATTTATTATTTTTAACAGGTTGTTGCTGCTAAAGCTTTCTGCATTTAACAGCCACCTGGACTGTATTCGACAACAATTTGATCCATAGACTTGTACATATAAACTACTATCTATAACAATTAGGCCAAAATCAAATAAAAAAAAAAAAAAAAAAAAAATTGTTGTAAATGTGTAAATAAACAGAAATGTTGTATGTAATAGTCAATAACTGTAAGATTAGTCTTTTTGATTTTTGTATGTATATGCAAATGTATAAATAAATGGCAATGTTGGATGTTATAGCCAATCAAAGTAATTACTAGACTTTTTGATTTGTATATACATACATGTATATCTATCAACAATAAAAAAGTCGTTTTGATTTGTATATATATATACAATAAAAAAAGTCCTTTTGATTTATATATATATATATATATATACATATGTGTGTGTGTGTGTAAATTTAACAAAAATAAAGTGCCACTGAAAGCTGAATCTACTTATCTCTCAAACAAAATAGAAAACTTAAATTTCAGTGGCAGTTTAATTTTTGTTGAATTTACATTAGAATACAAATACACTGACTGTTCCAGCAGTACATTCTACAGCCTGTTACTTTTGTAACTTTGTCGATGAATTTTTTTCTGTAGAGTTCTGGCAACCACTGCCTCCATTATGTTGCAACAAGGCCTGATGACTTAAAGTTCAAGATTATATCAGATTAAAGACTCAAACTTGGCATTTCCAGCAACTGTCACCAATAAAAACAAAATGTCACCCAGAGAAAAACAAGTTGACACACAAGACTGAAATAATGCAGTAAACAGTAGGCTAAATAACATGCAAAACAACACTCCACTGTATAGGCTAAACTGACAACAAAAATAAACAACATTATAACTATGTTTATTTTAAAATATATTGTATTTTTAAAGTATACTGCATGTTCAATAACTTACAGTAATCTTTTTTTAACATAACATTATTTTTCTGGGTATGTATATGGTAGGGCTATATTGCAGGCTATTTATAGTCAACAAGTCGTCTTTTGGTTAATAAAAAAATCACCGTAACAGATCAAAGGTAACCACATTACTGTTTGACAATGGAAAATAAAACCTAAATCAAATGATTTCTGTGAACTTTATGCAGTGACTGGAAACCGTGACGCAACCTCGGCCGTCGCGGACCCCCTTCAGTGCGCTCGCGCTGCCTCCGCTGTTTAAATGGGCCAAGTTTGAGAAGCGGCGGAGAGTGCAAATCTTGTTTGGTCTGGGTCTGTGAACTAAAGCGTGACTTCAGCGACGTATTAGGGGTTAAAAGAAAGAACGAGGGAGAGAGATAGAGAGAAAAAAAACACTAAAGTCCCATTAGCGCCAGACATCATTTGCAATCGAAAAGGCGCGCATAGATAGCTTAATTATTTCTATCCTCGTCAGATATGAAAATGCTCCGAGCCAGTCTGGCTCACTACCCACTGTACATGTACTACTGAACTTTTACGTGATCTGCACTACTACATATACACGCCTTATAATGCGTTAAAACATCCTAGTTGTATGGTGTCCTCATTACTTTCTGGACAAAAATAAACTTAGCACTGGAGTTGATGCAGGAAATAAACATAGCGAAGTTGCCATAGTGATTATTTTAAAGGAAACGCGGGATAAACAATCATTAGGCATTGAGCACGCTCAGCGTTAATATCTGGCGGAGATGTCAGGCATTAGTCCGATTAGATGTGGTGGGCAGGAGCGCGGGGAGACCCGTCATGCGAGCAGTGCACTGAGGAGAAGAGTGAAGTGGTGAATGGCTGAACTTAAGCGCTCTGCTGTCAGCCAGCGACGCGGGAGTCGTGCGTAAACACACCGGTGCGCCTGGAACTCCACGAAGAGGGACACAAGTTGGGACGCATGAACTGCTAATCACACGTTACCGGCGCTTCGCTTCGGGTAACATGCCTGCCATCAAAAAGGAGAGACTGGATGGAGAAGACATGGCATTAGCCGCCTTCAACCAGCCCGAATACCTGGCCCCTTTAAATGCCACCGCTATCCCCGTGGTGACCCCTCATCCGCCGCCGTACGATCACATTTTCGCCCATCATCAGCGCGCGTACTTGGGCTTTCGCGACACCGCGCTGCATCAGCAGCACCTTCACCACCACCCGGACGACTTCATGCTAGAGAGCTTCTCGTCTATCCCGGACTTTCAGCCGTTTTTCGACAACGGAGAGCCTTGTATCGAAGTGGAATGCGGGGAAAACAAAGCACTACTGTACATTAACAAACTGTGCCAGGGCAGCAAAGGGCCCTCCATCAAATACCGGGCTGAGTGGCTCACCCCAAACGAGTTCCAGTTCGTGAGTGGAAGAGAGACAGCCAAAGACTGGAAACGGAGTATTAGGCACAAAGGTAAGTCAATGGCGTGTGCAGCCGAGTGGATATTACTTTTGGAATACGGGTTCATTTGGCCTCCATCGTGTTCTTGATTTAACAGAACCGTTTTTGGGGGGATAAAAATATGGGTTACTTAACAGTAACTACTTTACTGCACTGAGAAGAGCTCTGTGCTTTGAGTCGAACGGCTTTGGATTCGCACTTTTGGGAAAAAAAGGAGAAAGGTCTTTTTTACGCACGTGGATTGAACAGGTATTGAAGAAATAGATTTTTACTTGAATTTTAAAACTTTTCAAACTGAAGTGCATGTCTACATAAAGTAGAGTAGATCAGGATTATGACACCGTGGCACATTATCAAACAGTTATGGATTAAGCAACTTGTTTACTAAGATTTTAACCGTTAGACTTTTCCGAGGTAGGCTATAACACACCAAACTTAAAGATGTTATATGTGTAGTTACTCTGTACTGATATAACTGCTCATCTAAAGTGTTTTGGTTCGGTTTTTTTCATTGTGTCGTAATAACATGTTTATTTCCATCCGGTCAGTTTGCCACGATCATTCCACGGTCATTTCTATTAAGCCTATTTTGACTTTTCAGTGTTTCAACTTTCAACGCAATTGTTCTTTATCAGTAAGTGGTCGAGCAATGAACTTTAGGTTATCACTGATTTTACTTTACTACTTTTAAGTCTGATATGAAACTTTCCAGTTTGAATGGTTTGCTCCATTATAGTTTTTATTTTACAATCATAATATATTGTTCAGGTAGTAGGCTACTAGTGAAGTACATGTCTATATTGAGTTGTTTGCGGCACATTATTATATGAACAGCTTGTGTTTACAAAGATTTAAAGTAGGAAAACACCATATTTGGATATGTTACAGTATGTGGAATAACTTTGTGATGATGTACCTGCTCATCTGAAGTATTTTATATGGTTAATTGAGTTTATTTTCAGAGGTTTCAGGTCTCCTTTCAGACAACAGTTTATTTTGGTTAACAGACTAATTTTATACAAGTGCACTCTTGGTATCACTTTTGGTCACTTACTGTAAATAAAATGAGGGGCACAGTGATAGTGAGTCACAAATGAGCTTGACAGATTGATGGCATTTAATACAGTTTGATACAGTGATACGATGCAGGTCCATTTCTGAATGACGATTTTAAAAACCGATTTTGTCGAATGAACAAGTGAGTGAATTGTTTTGTACTCCATGCATGCATATACATTTGCAGTAATCTAAAAGGTTACTGATTGGGTTTTTATTTTTTAGGTAAAAGTCTGAAGACACTTATGTCCAAAGGAATCTTACAGGTACATCCTCCAATCTGCGACTGCCCTGGCTGTAGAATTTCATCTCCTGTGGTAAGTTTGCAATTCAATTTGGTCTATTTTGGCTTTAATTTGTCTTTTAAACATATTGGTATAACTTGTTCTTTTATATATATATCACTTTAAAGGTGAAGACCAAGTGTGTACATTGTATGCTATTGTATGTTGAAATTGTCCCGCATGTAAAGCATAAAGCAAACGTTATTCAATGAAATGTTAAGCAGTGGATGACGCTGCTGCTGATGAATTACACAGTTTGATGCATTTTTCTCTGAATTGCATTAGAGATGTTAAGGACAGTGACTTGCTGTTAGTGCTGTCACGGTTGTTTCTCAGAAAGTAAATAAAGACCAAGTACAAGGAAATGTGAAATGGTTGGAATTGATTGTTTTGGTTTGTTGGACTCCGAGCGGCAATGTAAGGTCACAGATTGTCTGTAGCAGATGTTCGAGCAAAATATGCCACACGCTCCTTATTTCCACTTTTCTAGGATGCTTCATCGATCATGTAGACGACAAAACTAGTTCAGTGTCCATGAAGGTCAGAAAGAAATTGGGAGTAGTTGAAAGATTCATCTCTCTAGAAGGCATTTTTACAGATTTTTTCTTTTTTGCTCTGTTTCGGTGACATGGCAAGTTAATCAGTAATATTAATAGCTGATGTATGGACTTTCATATCTCTTTATTCTCACCCTGTGATATCTCCCACCTCTGTTAGAACAATCAGCTTTGTGCATTGTGTGTGTGAGCGTGTGTGTGTGCATGCACCGAGCTGGCTAGTGATTGGCTGCTTGCAGTATTTGTCCACACAGGTGCTGTGTTTTATCTGAACTGAGCGCGTCTGTTGCCGCCTCTAACGGTTAATCTTGAGGGGAAGGGCATAAGAAGCTTACTGAGCTACTGAACGTAGCTACCGGTGATTACTGAGGCAGCGGCACGCAAAGCGAAGGCGCTTCAGATAAGCTGGAGGTGTTTGAGTGATGCAGGTAAACTACTGAGGAGGGCCAGAGCCAGAGCCAGAGGAGATAAAAACTTAATGGCTTAGTTGTTTGGGGCCCTTATATTACCTCTCACTGAGGGCGTTAGAATCTCATGGAGGCTGATTTTGAAGATGAAGTCGAGTAGGCTTGTGACTGGCAATGTCTGATTGTTGTCTTATCATTCCCCAAGTGAAAGGGTTCTGTGGTGCTGTATCACCTGATAGTGTTCAGATGAATCAGACCCTGACTAAAATTGTCTTGCTTTTAATTGGTTTAACCAGCTTCCATCTGATTGTTTTGAATCACACATATACTTCTTTTGAAGTTTGAACATTTACTTTTACATTTTCTTTTAAGTGATGTGACTTCATCTGCAGCTTTTTGTATCTTACTACTTGGAAGATGACTGTTATACTTCATCTTTGGTGTGCACTATTTACTCAACCTTTTTTGATACACCAATGTATGTGATGAAGAACTGTCACAGTTATCTTCAAATCTGGTCACCCACTTTTGTATGCTGTTTGAGTAATATCCGGGTTTGCAGTTCATTCATTCACTTATCGTTAAAGTTGTTAAAATGTTCCATGTCGATTCATTCCTCATTTTGATGCTACTGCTTTTTGAAGATGTGGACATTCTGTGTATTTGGCCTCACTTCTGTTTTTCCCTTAAAGGTGAAATGTGCAAGTTTAGCACCACTAGTGGCACCAAACAGAATTGCAAAATTCTGTTTAGCAGCACCAAATTCGTTTTGCAAATTCGTGTGCAAAAATTACACACTTCAGCTTAAAAGGAAAAAGCTTTCCTAAACACTTTACTCGTCTGCCATCGGTCTGTCAAATAGGTAGCCATGCCCCAAACTCACCCCACTAGTTGGAGTCAATGCTGCTGTGTTGAATCACTCAAATAAACAGAACAACATTAAAAGAACCAGAGTGTTTACACTTTTCAAGGGAATCAAACTACAGATGGCGTAGTAGTTGGGAAATGAGAAAGTAGCCAAGACAACTCCTTCACTCTACACAACCAGTCAAATAGTGACACAGTACATACACACTTTATCATAAAACACTCACTTTCACACATGATATAAATCTTCACACATGTTAATGCTTTCATATGAAAGAAATACAAAATGTTGAGAATACAATTAACACCTCTATATTAGTTTTGTCCACTCTCACTTTTGAATGTGCACACACTTTCTCTTTCAAGACTGTCAAGAACTCGTCATGCTTTCTAACAGCAGTTGGATTACTTCTAAAGTGCTCTCAAATGGTTGACCTGCTTATTATATCTTATGTTTCTCATGTTGTTTTTTGTGTTTTTAGTGTCTTTACATGAGTGTTTGAGATTGTCAACTATATATGCTAACATGATGGCTTTTAGTTGACAGAAAAGAGTAAGTTTTGTGAAGTGCATGCCTCATGTCATACATATATCAATGATTGATGACATGGCTTCTGTTGCACACATCAACCAAATTTGCTCTCAATTCAGCTGTAAGCCCTGAAGATGGACAATCACTTTGGTTATAGAATACAGTCACTTTCATAACTGAACAGGGTATGAACTGTATTTTGCACATAAGTGCTTCTGTTTGAAAGAAGCTTTTGTGAATTGGCATCCACAGCTCACGCACGATTAAATGTAAAGACAAGAACATGTACAAAACAACAGGTCCTGTCAAGCTTGATGCAAATGAATATGGCAACATGCTCTGTGCTGCCGTTCGTGGTCTCTGAGGGGATGACAGTTTTCTTCATTGTTTTATGACTGATCCTTTGAATCATGCTGGAGTCATTCTAAACAGCTCAGTTCCGTTCATTACTTTAATTACTCGGTACGCATCTTTAACCGTTCTTCTACCCTCAATGGCCATCTCAGAGGCTAGACCTATACTACGGTGAAAAGTGTTGTCTTTAAGTTCATAAGTTCATCATAATAGTTAGCTTAGGTGCAAGATGTAGGTCATAGGCCTTTGAGTTGTTGTGGTTTATTGTCCTCCTGCTAATAAATTATATGCAGATTTGTCCTAATGAAGTGTGCTCGCTGACATAGAACCATTGTTTGCATGTTTCTGTGCAGACGGATGAATGGTCATGTGTTGTTGTTGCTTTAAGAGACAGAGTCATTCAGTTGGCCTGGCTGTTGTCTCCCAGGAGAAATGTGCTTCCTTTCCCCTGTTTTGTCAGCGGAACTAGTGGATGCTGGCAGGAAATTACACTCCGCTCCGTCTCGTAAATATCTCTTAGAATCTGGGCTTCTCCCGGCTGCGTCCCGGGTCAAGAAAAAGTTGTCACTGGGGGGTTGGGAACAAGGCTGGTTAAAAAAACATGGAGGATGGTGATGTCGCAGTCTAAACATTTCAGAGTTGGTCCTTCAAAGAGAACAATCTCAGCAGTTATTGATGCATTTATTGCACTCCTAGTACACAGCCTTCTGAGGCAAGAAGTACTGTAACTGAACATGAAAGCAATAGTCCACCCAAAAATTTTAATTATGTTATTTGTCATATGTAGGCCGCGTGTTCACCAAAGCATTTTTAGGCAGCAGAAAACGCCTAGCTGTGGGCGCTTGAGAGCGTTTTGGCAGGACAACGTTTTTTTCAGTTGAGACGCTTTGCTTGCTATGATATAGAATATCCACGGAAGGGTTACTAGTATCTAATATCACCGATTGTTTATTTCTTTTTTGTTTCTATAAAAATGTCGATACAATGTATAGTATTTGCTCTGGCTCTTGTTTTAAATTATTTTGTTCGGTTATTATGCTTCTTGTTGTCATCTGTTGACTTTGTACAAGCAGGATGTGGGCGGTTTGTGGGTGTGGTATTTATGCCTCCCCTCCTCCACTGTGATTGGACGGCTGGGTAAAAAGTGACAGTGATGAGTGATGACCGCTGCGTTTTACCTAAAGTTGAACATTCTTCAACTCTCGGTGAACGGTAAAAACGCAGAGCGCTCAGCGCCTTGTTACGATCCTGGCGGTTTAAAAACGCGTCGCTCCCATTGAAAACAATTGCAAAAATATACGCTAGCCGCGGGAAAAACGCTTTAGTGGTCTTAAGAAAACCATTGGAAAAATACACTTTGGTGGACACGGCTTAAAATTGTTGTACTGAAAAAAACTGCTTAAAGGGTTAGCTCACCCAAAAATGAAAATTATGTCATTAATGACTCACCCTCATGTCGTTCCAAGCCCGTAAGACCTCCATTCATCTTCGGAACCCAGTTTAAGATATTTTAGATTTAGTCCGAGAGCTTTCTGTCCCTCCATTGAAAATGTATATACGGTATACTGTCCTTGTCCAGAAAGGAAATAAAGACATCATCAAAGTAGTCCATGTGACATCAGTGGATTAGTTAGAATTTTTTGAAGCATCGAAAATACATTTTGGTCCAAAAATAACAAAAACTACTACGAATTTATTCAGCATTGTATTCTCTTCCGGTTCTGTTGTCAAGCTGCGTTCACGAGTCCGCAGTGACGCTGCTGACGTAAGACGCTGCTGACGTGTTATCTGGTGTGTCCGTGTATTCGGGTTCAAATAAATATGGCTGGGCAAAAAAATGCAAGTCTTCCTCTGTGTCGAAATCCTTAGACATGTTTGCGAAGATTGTTTTGTTTACAGAGTGCGTCTCCCTCAGACTGTAAACGAAGCTTGAAAATAACACGTCATCAGCGTCACTGAACGCGGCTCGACAACATAACCGGAAGAGAATACAATGCTGAATAAAGTCGGAGTTTGTTATTTTTGGACCAAAATGTATTTTCGATGCTTCAAAACATTCTAACTAACCCACTGATGTCACATGGACTACTTTGATGATGTCTATATTTCCTTTCTGGACAAGGACAGTATACCGTGTATACATTTTCAATGGAGGGACAGAAACCTCTCAGACTAAATCTAAAATATCTTAAACTGTGTTCCGAAGATGAACGGAGGTCTTACGGGCTTGGGACGACATGAGGGTGAGTCATTAATGACATAATTTTCATTTTTGGGTGAACTAACCCTTTAAAGTAGCAATGAAACGAAAGTAGC